TGTACAATTATATGGTAATAAGTAATTAAATACTGATTTTTTATACATGAATGAGTTGCTTATTAAGCATTAGTTACTGATTAAGTACTCATGACTCATGATTTAGAGAAGCTTATACTCTCTTCACTGTGAATCACAGCATAAACGTAAGTGAACATATTAGTCACAGGCTTCTTATTCAAAAAAGTTTGTAGACAGTTGACTTTACAAGCATCAGAATAAAATATGCACATATTGACATTATCTGTCATACTATTATCTTATTATCTTACATTTAAGGTGCCAAAAAGGTTCTTTTGGAATGACACCATGGAAACCCAGTATTGGATCCTTGAACAAACTGTTATTGAATGAGATGTGCACGTATACAGAACTTAACAGACTGAATGGTAATTGATAATGAATGTGTATTTTCAACACAAGAACATACAGAGAAAACATTCAGACATCAGTAACTAGTCAAGTCTTAATCATGAGTTTATGATATAATTAGTAACGAGAATAATCACTTTGCTGGGAAGAAAACAAAGAGGCAATTAATTACATTAAATCAGTAGAATAATTAACAGGTAATTAACAGGATTAACACAAGCATTTGTTAGTTCTGATGTTATTTATATGAGAATACAGACTTATCAACAGAAAAAAAGCTGCAAACTTAAAAACCCAAACTGTTAATCATAAGCATACTGCAGCAACAGGTGTGGAAAATGTCTTACTTCTGATGATAGTTTGCAGATCACTGTTCACGAGGATGATGCAACTTTTTTCTTTAACTTGAGTGGCTGATATTTTATATTTGGCTTTGGATATATTTTGGATATAAATGGATTTCCTTTACTTTGTTAAAGGAAACGTGCTTTTGCATTTTTTAATATCTGGAGCTTCAAATTCAAAAGTATATTCAAAGGAACCCTAGCTCACTGCTAAAAACCCAAAGGCATGGCTGTGGTAATGACAAATACTGGAACAGATGCTAAGCAGTGATTGGGGGAGAAAATCAAGTAGACATTTAAGAAAGTTCCCACAGCTAGTCAAAACAGCTGTTTAGATTTTTTCTGAATTATTCACTGATGCCCCCTACTGGCTCATGCCCATAAAACTCATGGGAAGATCCCGGCCAGAGTAACATGAGAACTAACTGCTAATATTTGTTATATCTAAGTTGGTGCCATTAATGATTTGGCCATTTCATTAAAACCCTCTACTTTGTATCTACACTTACTGTCCATTTTATCAGCTCCACTTACTATATAGGTGCACTTTGTAGTTCTACAGTTACAGACTGTAGTCCATCTGTTTCTCTGCATACTTTATTAGCCCCCTTTCGCCCTGTTCTTCAGTGGTCAGGACCCCCATGGACCCTCACAGAGCAGGTACTATTTGGGTGGTGGATCATTCTCAGCACTGCAGTAACACTGATTTGGTGGTGGTGTGTTAGTATGTGTTGTGCTGGTCTGAGTGGATCAGACTGGAGTTTTTAAACACTGTGTCCACTCTATTAGACACTCCTACCTTGTCAGTCCCCCTTGTAGATGTAAAGTCAGAGACGATAGCTCATCTGCTGCTGCACAGTTTGTGTCGGTCATCCTCTAGTCCTTCATCAGTGGTCACAGGACGCTGTTGGCTGGATATTTTTGGTTGGTGGACTATTCTCAGTCCAGCAGTGACACTGAGGTGTTTAAAAACTCCAGCAGCACTGCTGTGTCTGATCTACTCAGACCAGCGCAACACACACTAACACGCCACCACCACATCAGTATTACTGCAGTGCTGAGGATGATCCACCACTCAAATAGAACCTGCTCTGTGATGATGCCATATTTATCTGCTATATCTCTCTTGTACATTCAGGTTGTGATTCACAGCAAAATGTTTAAAGGCTGTCCTTAATCATGAATTCATAGTATAGTTAGTATGCCAGTAGGGAGGATTTTGACTTAAATCAACACATCAACACAATCAACCATAATTTAGTAATTAAGGACTAAACTATATAAAGTAATGAGTAATTAACAGGGGAAATGTAAGGACAGCTCTGAGGATAGTAAGGCAGCTTATAATGTGGAGGTGATTTTAGTCAGGAGTATAGTCAATTACTAATTCCTAAGTAATTAATCAGTAACTAAGTAATAACTAACGTTTAATAAACACTTCATTTATATGTAAATGGCTTATAAATGACAATTGTTTTTTTAAATTTGTGACCCTTAATGTAAAGTGTTAACTGTCACGTACAACACTTGTGAGGCTGCATTATAATTGTAAATATTTCTGATGAGAGGAACATGAATAATTCAGCATGTTTGTTTAAATATAATTTTAATAATTGAACGTCATTAATGTAAGAATGTTTTACATATTGAATAACTGTTTAATGGCACATTCCTAATGTAACAATCTTATTGCAAGAATGCCCAATCCTGAAGATCCACCACACCTCTAGGTTCACTACAACCCCTGTAACGCACATGATCCAAGTAAAGAAGAGATTCAGGACTTTCTGATAATCAGAGCCAGGTGTGTTGGATCTGAACTCTGTAGACTGGTAGATTGGGATTGAGTGCCGTGTCTTAACGCTAGTAATTAATATAAAACAATTTTTAAAACATTATGATGATCCCTTTCCCTATGCTACTGTATAAATCAATACATTTGGAAATCATAATCACAATTACCATCAGTGTATTAGCTGTTATATTATTGCACAGGTAAACATTGAAAAATGAAGCATAAAATATAAAATGCAAATATAAGACTTTTACACAGACCATATTTTGTGTTATGTTTCTCCTTTAGTTAAAATTAGTAAATAAACAGTAATGGTGTATTAAATATGTTCTCTATAGAAGACATGTTATTTTCATAAAACATGTCAATTCCAAATTTTAGCACAAGACTAGATCATCACTGTCATGTAAAGACCTTGCATCTCCATTTTTGAGATTTTTTATTTTTTTACTTTTTCGCATGATTTGAAAAATCCAGTTAGTCTTTACATTGTATTACAATTAAATGATTAATGGATCAATATGGACAAAAGTATTGGGAGTTCAGGTATTTCAGCCACTCCCATTGATAACAGGTGGATAAAATTAAGCACATAACTTTGCAGTCTCTATAGACAAACACTGGCAGTAGAATGGGTTTGTACTGATGAGCTCAGTGACCTTAAACATGACACTGTCATGGGATGCCACCACTGCCAAAAGTCAGTTTGTGAAATTCCTGTCCTGCTAGAAGAACCTTTTCTGTTCCAGCATGACTGAGTCCCAGTGCACAAAGCAAATTCCATAAAGGCATGGCTGGGTGAGTTTGGTGTGGAAGAACTTGACTGGCCCTCACAGAGCCCTAACCTCAACCGCATCAAACACCTTTGGGATGAACTAGAACAGAGATTGTGAGCCAGACCCTCTCGTCCATCATCAGTGTCTGACCTCACAAAGGTGTAATGTGTAGTTAGGTGTCACAATACTTTTGTCCATATAGTGTAAATAGATCACAATTACTTGGAATAAAATCTTGTTACCATTTTGGAGATACAAGGTTTTGGTCCAACATTAAATAAAGGTAGTCAATAACAGAGTGACACTTTCTAATTACAATAGCATAAAGAACATGATGAAGAATATTTTTCAAGACTATTCATTTTTTCTAATAAAGGACTTATAGTAAAGGTAGAAAAGATGCAGTATTGTAACACCCCAATAAACCTTCATATGCACAAACTGTTTCCTTGCTAGCTACTTGAGATAAAAAATGGCCAGAATACAAAGCAGTAAAAATAACATTACTTTAAATTGTAGTGTAATTTTACCCTTTATTTAATGTAATTATCTGGTATTGTTGTCATAATGCTGACTGGAATTAGTAGATGGACATGAAGCCTTTGTCTTCTGGTCATTATTAACGGTGGTGGCCTTTTTGAATGGACAGCAAGTGCATAACCACTTCCTGTACTGCTTCCTGACCTGGAAGCAGAAGAGACAGGGAAAGTTTTTATGAGAAAACAATAAAGTTACATCAATAAAATCAAAGTGAGAATCAGTGTAACACTTTTTTATGGCTTGACATGGTACTATCACAATTAGACAATAGAATAAAATAAATGAATCCTACAATTAATACACATGGCAAAATGCATAGTGCAGTCAATCCATACCATACTTGGGCTTGTAAGTAGAAGAGGAGACGTTTTATCATGATTTGAGCTTAAAAAGTTTTATTATCTGGCAGTCTAATGAATGAATTTAACACAATGCTACCACAAACAAAGACATTTTAGACAATTATATTGTGGTATCAGTCAGAGGAACAATAAGAAAAAGCCATGTTCTGCTAAGAAAAAGGCTCTTTATTCAGAACAAGCAGAAAAAGAGGCACTCCTGCAATAACTGAAAAGAGGGAAGGTCACTCTTAGCCCTATACTTTCTCTAATCACTATCCCGAGAGGTCGAACTCCAGATTAATGCCCATAGTTATGTAAAAGGAGGCTCAACTAACTCGTTTGATGAACAGATGTCCACATACTTTTGGCCATAGTATTAAAAGTGTTTGGGTTTGTCATAAGTTTAAAGATGTGCATTGTTTACAAATTTTTACTTAGCAATATGTTTTTATTGGTAATTAAGCTGGTTTACTAAACATGCAGCCTAGCTGATATTCCAATATGAGTGAAATTACTCCAGTAGGTGAACAACAAATCATGTTAAGTATCAATAACTTGGTGCATTTCAGAGCTTGATACCAATTTGTATTGATTTGCAGGGACATTTCACGGCTAATATGAATATGACTATGAATGTGAGAGTGGTGGTCAGTGTGGCGGCTGACCTCTTGGTTGAGGACACAATGGACCAGGAATATTACGGTGCCCTGCTGGGAGATGAGGATCACAAAGATAATCTCCAGTACAATACTGCTATGGATGGACAAACCCAGTACCCAAGGGCAACCAAGGATGAAAAACTGGGCCATGGTTTTAAACAGCACACTTCTGATGAGTTTCTTATCAGCCTGAGTTTGTGTCCTCTGCAAGATCTCATTGTTCAGGCTTTTCAGGCTGAAAGTGACAGTGATGAAGATGGTGATGAAGAGAATCACATTTGCCTGCACAGTGAAAAACAATTCAGAACGAAAGGGTTAGTGTGATGTAATGTGATGCAAAGAAATAAAAGGGCATATCGTTACTGTCGCATAAAAACTTTGTATCTCTATTTTTCTTCTTTTTTTGCATAATTTAAACATTTCAGTTACTCTTTACATTGTGTTGTGTTAACATTGTGTCATAATGAATGGAGCAACAAAAAAGTAGTTACATTCATTTTCATTAAAAGTTAAGAATGTATTTTCCTTCTCCTGTAAAATTACCATTTTGAGGATACAGGGCTTAAACCTGACAGTGATGATATGTTTAATAATGCACACATTAGATTTGTGTGTAGTTTGTTTACTCTGAAAAGGAAACCTTATATCAAGCAGTGAGAAATAATAAGACTATAAATGCAAATGTTGTTATTGCTTTACCAAATAATTGAACGAATGGTTTGTCACCTATAAACACATTATGCATATTATTCCCCTCTTTCTTATGCAGTACTTACCGCAAGAATGAAATACACAGGGCCCAAGAAACTCCAATAAAAGCCCCTGTTGTTCTCAAGCCAGCATCTGAGGGGAGAAAATGTATAATAGATTTCATTCTTATATGAAGAAAAAAATCTGACATTAGATTTTTTGTTTTTCCCTGAATAAACGGTCATCAATTGCATTTTATAAAAGAAAAATATATTCTTTTAATAGAAATATTCAATATTGATCCTTGCTAACTAGCTACTCTTAGATAATCTTAACTAACTTAGCTAGCTGTTTTCCACTCATGTATTATTAAGCAAAACATTAACATTTCTGAGAAACTGTAGTACATGCTGACATATCACACTGTATAAAAAGAATCCTAAGAAAAGACTTTTTTAAAAAAAATGTTAAATATCTTAATGCTAGCTTGTCTAATTTCACAGCTAATTTTATTTGCTATCTAATTTCACAACTAATTGCAACAAGTCAGTTTATGAAATTTCTTCCCTTTTAGATATTCCAAGGTCAACTATAAGTGTTTAGGAGTCACAGCAACTCAGCCACCAAGTATCAGACCACATAAAGTTACACAGTGGGTCATTGAGTGCTGAGGAGCATAGAGCATAAAAGTCACCAACACTCTGCTGATCAATATCTGCATAGTTCTTATTGCATGATCTTAGCATGAGAGCAGAGTGGAAACTTGTGAAATATTAGAATTGTAGCTCTAATCCTGCACTTTGAGAGGGCCTCAGCAAGAGGTGGGTAGCGAAACCAAAACTTGACTATCAAGTAAAATTACAGTTGCTTCTGTGAAGCTATGACTCAACTAGAGGAACATGTAACTTTAAAACTCACAACTTGAGTAGGAACTAAAGTTTATTTGAGGCCTTTTGGTCTAAAATAAAATGCTCACAAGTGAGAACAGTAAGCTGTGGTAAGGTGGTCCAAGACCCATATTTATCAAACTCCATGTAAGGATGATGCTCTTGGATCAGCCTTTATGTAACACTGATTGAAACTGCATGAACTATTAAGGGACCTGAATGTGAATAGCTAAATTTTTCACAAGGTAAACAGTAGATTAGTTTCCTCACTACGTTACTTGAATAGAATTAAACATACTATTTTAAATATTATTTTTAAATAGATTTTTACAAAAAAGTAAAAATCAATCAAAAATGTACTTCAAGTAATTGAATGTTCAAGTAATTCAGCAAAGTAATTAGTTCTTACCACATAAAGTGCAAACAGTAGATCTAGACAAATTCTATTTAACTAAACTCCATCCACATCTAATGAAATTTTGCTCTCTTTTCAAATTTAGACATTTTGAGCTAAAACCCTACCCAATAAAACAGTTCCCCCCCACGACACTCACATTTTACTGCTGTATCCATTAGGCACCACTGCAACAGACACACCCACCACAAGCAGAGGAATAACATATCCAATCACAGTCAGATATTTCCAACCAAGCATCTTCTTCTGCTTTGATCTGATCTTTGTGAGGTTCTTTGCAGAGATGAAGAGCAGAACAGCATCAATGAACATCCACACAAAAGACGAGAGGAAGAGGAAGTGCAGCAAGCCTGCCAGCACTGCACACGCCAACTGGACAAGAGAGAGATACAGAATAAAAAAAAAACAAAACTTAGCTATCATGATATCACTTTCCAGTGAAGATTTTGTTAGGAGCTCTTGCTAATATTCTGAAACTGTTTTTCCCATTTGAAAATAAAACGCACTCATTACTTCTGTGAGTATCTGGTCTGTTTGCCTAACATTACATTAGCACTTATTAATACACAAGCAACAATTATATCATTATTAACTATTATTAACAATGTAATAAAATTTGATTCATTTGTACTTATATAGAAAAGTCATTATGAATTGTTACCCATCCTTTTAATAGGGACTTAAAAATACAGATTACGTTAACATCTAGGAGTAGTGAAGATGTGAATTGTCTTTCAGAAATACTCAGATATGACATTTACTCATAGTGGATGCTCTCTGAATTCCTATTTTTTTTAAGCATTAATTGATTATAAAGTAGTAGCATGCTTGTGTGTGTACATGTCCTAAAAATGTAACATATATTAACATCTGTAGACTGTTAATGTAAACGAATAGTGATTTTAAGTATTGAAGTATTTAAGAGTAAAGTATTTAAGAGCATTTAAATACTTATTTAGTTCATGATTAGTTAATAATGATGTACAAGCTAAAACACGTATTATAAACAGTTGTTATTAAGAATTAAAAACCTGATCAATATAATTAATATTAATATGTTATGTGAAAATGTTATAAAATAGATAGTAGTTTTACTGATACAACTTTGCAAGACGTTTGGAACTGAGACTAGTATGAAGGTAATATTTCTCACCAGATTAGCACGTATGTACTTCAGGAGCCCCCCTTTGAACAGAAAGAGGAGGTGGGCCAACAGCAGGCTTATGCACAGGTTGACCTGAGCTGTGTTGGTTACGTTTAGTTGTCTTCCACAAAGAACAAAGGTCAGTAGGGTCAAGCTCAGGAACAACAGCCCCATTGGCTGTAGCCACAACGATTAACATGTCCAAACGCTCTGTAAACCCAAAGCAGTTTGTAGAGTATTAGGGTTAGTTACACATATATTTTAATTGCATAATAATTAGTTGACACAAATATTGTCAGTTAATTCAATGGAAAAAGTTTATTCCCATCACTCAGTTAATTAAGTCAATGTAAAACCTATAAAGTAATTACACAACACAAAGATTTAGAAAATGTAAAATTACTACTTAAATTATGCAAATGTTGAGTCATAGAGCTTTACTGCTTTGTTGATTAGATTGAATAGATTTGTTGCTCAGTTGAGTAGATCTCATAGACCTACTCTTTGGTTGATGAGGTCAAATTGTCAGCTCCACTGCTGACGTTTCACCTCCTCACCGAGGTGCAGAGGTCGCTATCTCCTAAATTCTAGAGTAATTGTCACCTTGCTTTCAGTAGCGGCCTTCTTGTATATAAACACATTGCCTAGGTCTAGTCCTTTTCGAAGTCTTGTTATTGCCCTGCAACACAATTCTGAGCATTCTATTTCTGGTTTGGCATTCCTGGTCAAGATGTTTTGCTATGTATTTTGGATTCTGGGTAGTGGTTCGTGTTTCTGCTATGAGTTTGCTGGATTTGTGTGTGAGTATCAAGAATGGACTCTGCCTGTACAAGATTATGGATTTACTTTATTAAACCTGCGCTTGACTCCAAACCCCGAACACTTCAGTTACCAGTTTTTAGCAAAGCCGAAGAAAATGTGTTTACTTTTTAAGTTATTGTTTTGTCCCATTAAATGTCTCTGAGTCAGTAGAGCTGAGTGAAGATGAAATTACAGCAAGAATAGAAGTGCTACAAGAATAAATCACATAAGGCTTCAGTGAATGTGGCTTCATAATGACTCCTTGAAAAAGCCCAGTGGTCAGAGTTGAAATCTGTGTCCATTAAATGCAACCAGCTGATAAACTGCCAGTTAAATGTCACTATTTGCTCCTAACAGACTCGCTTTAACTTTTTTTTGCATGTCACAGTCTCTTTATCACTGGATTCTGCCCTCGCTGGTTTTAGCAAATTTAGCAGAAAGCTAAACAGCTATCAGGCTAATTCTACAATAATAAAAGTTGAAATTCAAGTTCAAGCCCTTAAACAAAGCGTTACTTGAAAGCTGAGGCATACAAAGCAAAGACCGTTATTTACATACATTACATGCCTGCTACGAGTTAAAAAGTCTGTATTTTAAACTAGAGCTGCCATAAAAATCCCACATAGCAGAGAGCTAAAGCTGCAAACATATCCAGCTACCATGGTGACAATACAAGGAGAATTGTTGAAGCGCTGGTTTAAAAACAGATTTCTACATTAGATATTACTGTGTAATGGCATTGCTTCATGTTTTTCTCTGCACCTGATTCTGTGTAAACACAGTTAAAAATTTTATATGAAGTGACTTTATAATCAAGAGTAATTAGTATAGGCAATAAATAGGATCCTCTAACTAAAGCATTTCTCTCACAGAGTATAAAGATTCTATTGACAAATAGATTACATCAGTACCAATAATATCTATTACTGATATGCTTATAAGCATTTTCAAATTAAGTGATAATCATAGGTTAATAAGTACTTAAATACTCATTATTTGTAGATTAATTTCCCGCTCATTAAGCATTAGTTACTGAGTAAGTACTTAGTGATTAGTAATTGAGTTCACTGTAGTTTAGTTGTCATTAGTTCATAGCTTAATTGTTCATTAACTGTGTACTAACTGCTGCTTATTAATCTGATAATGAACTGATAAGTGTCTGATAAGAGACATGACAACTAAGAAGTACTTATGTGTTAATCCTGTTAATTATAGACCACTTGTAATTATAGACCACATAAACTTACACAAGTTGTCAGTGTAACTATCTCTGAGTGTATTGAGTGTAGCCTGGACACAGTCTGGAAGGAGATTCAGAGAAGGACATTTTTTATTGTCCACCAGTTTTCAGCACACAAGACATCACTCCACTAACATTAGGTAGTTAGCTAGTTAACTAACTTAGTTGATGTTAGTTAGCTTAGCAATTTAGTGCAGGTTTTGGCTAAGCTAGTAACTGGCTTGTTTTTAGTCAATGTTTGTTTTTAAGTCAAAGTCGATGTTCTTTCTTCTCCTCAATGCATATGGTTTGTTCAAGACCTCCTGAAACCTGAAAATTACATCCTTTACTGACTCAACTCCCATTTTCAGTTGGCGACTAACTGGTCGGGTGAAATGGTGGTCTTTAAAATTGCTCCTATCTGACTGGTTCATTTATGAGTAATAGTTAAAGGTGAGACATGATCGGTGAATTAATAAAACTGAGCAGATAAGAAAGCTAACAAAAAGTTTTAAATTAGTAATTGTGAAATTATATTGATCAGATTTGCCATTAGCACAAAAAAAAAATAAAATCATGGGAAGTGTGAAGATCTTAAATTAGTTCCCATGCAATGTAGGTGCACTTGTTCTACACACTTACCTCCTGTAAACCCTTGGTTGATGTCATCAAATATTTCTGAGTCATCACAGGAGCACATAGTGCGATTACTGTCGATTGGAATGACTCTGCAACTGCCATTCACTATTTTTTCCCAGGTCAAACAAAACCTAGAGCTATTAACGGCCACCGCCTAGTCAAGAAAGATGTAGATAAGATTTTGAAAACAGTTAGCAATTCTTTTGTCGTAGATTCTAGTCAGACTGCATGAATGATGTGGTACGGTAATGATTTATTGTCTATATTTTTTCCTCCAAGTATCATAAGATGTGAATCAGGTACCAACATCTGTTAAACAGCAAGCACCTACATGTAAACAAAACACAGTATTTGATCAAGTGTAGAGTGACGAACCATGAACAATAGTGTGAGTGGAGAAATGAGTCAAACAGGCTGTACATGTGCAGGTGCAAAACGGTCCCACTTTATATTGTCTCTAATAACTGTAGTTACACATGAATAACATATGCAACAACACTGTAACTACTAATGATTTAGTCAATGTTACAGATGGATTACAGAAGTACAGCCTATGTAATTACACATGTTTATTAACTTCAGTTTTGTCTTATATAATTACACAAGTATATCTTCAACACAGGACTTTCCTGTAGTGTAGTGTTAAAGTTACACTTCAAAATGTGTGGACAGTTCCTGTGTAGTTGTTATGTAGGTACTGTGTAATAAAGGAGTGGTAATGTAAACATTGCTTTGGGGGAAATGCAACACATTTAATTAATGTCATAAAGTTACATTTTAAGATAAGGGGACAGTCTGCTGAACCATCACATTACAGAATGGTTTAAAGGTTACAATGTCACATCACTAGCAATATAAATGCTAGCTGAATATTAGGCTGGCTGTCGGATACAGTGTAAGTAATGTCTTAATGTAAGTTATTACACAAACAAAAAACAAAAAACAAAACTTACAAATGTAATTACATCTATGTTATTACCATTGTGTAACTACATGAGAGAGAATAGGCTATTACAACTATTAAGATACACTTGTGTAATTACATGTGGCAAAACTAAAGTTGATACACGTGTAATTACATAACGTGTGCCTCTGTAATCCATCTGTAACAGTGACTAAATCATTAGTAGTTACATTGTTGTTGCATATGTTGTTCACTACAAAGTTATTAGAGACACTTTTTGGTGGGACCAAAAAAAACATTACTGCAGGCCCTAAGATACATCACTGACTGTGAATACAAGTAAGGACAGGCCATTTTTTTTCTTTTTACTCTATCGTGAATGAATCATTGTTACTGTCCTACTTTATCTGTGGACAGCGTGTCTGACTAAAATATATAGGCTTACTCCTGCCACCCCAAATCTGACCTGTCCCATTCAACTGAAATGAAGGTGTTTTTTCTTTAAAATGTAAACTATATATGGTGTATGTATAGTACAATCACTGATTTACTTAACTCACTGTAGCATGTGTCACAATGATGTTGACTGGGTTGTTGAGCTGTGTGTTATTGATGGCACTATTTGTTTTTACTCCATCCTTCTTATTCACTTCAGCATGCAGGAGGACGGTATTACGCATGTCCAACAGGTCATACCTTATCACTAAAATGACACAAAGTCCTTCAGGTACTGTAATAAAATAAAAAGTAAGTAAATAAATAAATAAATAAATAAATAAATAAATACTTAAACAAAACCCAATCCGTCTGAAGTGATCTGATCATGAGTGGACAATAAGACTCGAATGTCTTGAATGCAGGAAGCCTGCTACCCATATTAACTAGGTCAGTATCTTGCTGCATTTGCTGTCAAACAAAAATGTACCACAAGGTCATGTTCATGTACATGAAAAAGCCATTGCACACATTTAGAAGAGACAAAAAAAAATCAACCTATGCAGCTGATTTTGCCTCTAATGTGATGATGCAGCTGATTAAGGCGGTCCTTTGACGCTGTCAAGGACACATCAAGATGCATTGTGGGCACATCATGTTCCGATAACTCAAACCTACTCCAAAGGGGATTTAGTTATTAGAATACAATGTGTCTCCGAGATGCACTGTACTCCTTTTACACCTGTGCTTAGCGCTGTCCACTTGAATCGATGACTGGATCACCCAGGACACATGTTAATGCCAAAGGTTAAAAAGGCCTTGAATCAGTAGCACTTTATTTCACGATATATTAAGTACCTGATAACAGGTAAATATGTAGTACTTACAAGTAATTTTCTGGTACATACTTTGCAAGTACATAGTACATGTCAGGTATGTACTGTAGTACTTAAGCACAATTTAGTGGCAAACATCTAGTATTTGGGAGTAATTCATAATTTGTAAGTTTGATATTTAACTGCAGCAGCTAATGTGAGAAATATGAGTTATATTTTAGCTTTTAGTGCCAAGAAATTACATGGTAATAGCAAGTACTACCACACTGCTTTGGGAAGTACATGCCTATGTTATAAAGAAGAGTAGGTTCCAGATAGAGGTGAATAGTCAGCAAGTACCTTTTCCAGTACTTTTTCCTCCCCCTCTCTCGAGGAGCAGGAGGAATGGAGAGAACGAATAAAATTGGGGCTTTTTGTATTTTAGTTCCCGCAGCCCAGAAGGATAAGTGGCTAAAGGGTGCTAATTATCTCCTCAGTACTCCGGATTACTACCAATAGATTTCATGCTGACTCAGTCATAGCGACGCACTGCCTGCATCCGTGTCACACATCCAAAACACAAGATGGCTCTAGTGCCTTGATGATGTCAAATTCCATTCCATATTGTCAGGTTTCATTCCATTTTCTCAAGTTTCATTCCACATATTCAGACTTTCATTCCATATATTCAGAGTTTTCAGTCATTCTATATAAATAATTTCCTAAACGACATGCCATAATATATTTACATAGCTGCATAACAAGCAGGCTGGAGTAGAAAGAAAACTTACCTCTCTCAAGTGCACAGCTAAGGAAAAAAAAACAAATCTCGTTTGATAAAATAAAGCCAAACCACACTACTAAACAATAGTTGCTAAAATGTCCATAAGTTAAGGTTTGTAGGGCAGTACTTGGAGGAACTGGTGACACTTAGCTTTTTAGGGAAAGTGCTAATCTTCAAAAGCATACAATAATTTCTAATTCAGAATAATACAAAGGTAATTGCTGTTCTCCTGTTCTTACTCTGTGTCATGGGATAAAGGGAAGATTTTTATTTTGAAATGGAACTGAATGATGAAGGGGTGACTACTCACAAGTGAACCAGAGCTGGTTTCTTCCTATTTCCCCCGTTATATCAGAAACATGATTACAAAATGCCAGAGGATGCCTGTGAGTGAGTCCTCAATGAATAGGGGTGAATGAAGCTAAATGGCTAAAAACTAAAAGTTAAAATAGTTTCTAATCACTTGCTTAGAATTTTCCTTTAATTTTAGAAAGTAAAATCATGTATTTCACTAAAAGAAAAGCAAAGAAAACTTACCTGTACATTTCTTTTACGTTTTTTTATTTATTTATTTATTTATTTTTTTTTCTGTAGCAAACGGATTTTGGGCAGCAGGACCCTAACATTACTGCTACTGAGTGCTGATTGGTTGCCAAGCAGAGCAGCTCATTGGCTGTTTGTGCTCACCGATGTCATGAACATACATGAGTCACCATTTTATAACTCTTATAACTTGAGTTCAAAACCCTTAAAAAACATAACAGTGGTGTTTAATTCTTTTATGCTGTTCTACACTATATTGCCAAATGTATTCACTCACTCATCCAAATCATTGAATTCAGGTGTTCAAATCACTTCCATGGCCACAGGTGTATAAAACCAAGCACCTAGGCCTGCAGACTGCTTCTACAAACATTTGTGAAAGAATGAGTCGCTCTCAGGAGCTCAGTGAATTCCAGTGTGGTACGGTGATAGGATGCCACCTGTGCAACAAGTCCAGTCATGAAATTTTCTCGCTACTAAATATTCCTCAGTCAACTGTCAGTAGCAAGCAAGCAAAGTTTATTTATATAGCGCTTTTTACAACAGGTATTGTCACAAAGCAGCTTTACAGAAACATTAGCATTAAAGAAAGTAATCTGGGTCCAAACCCCCATGAGCAAGCCAGTGGTGACAGTGAGGTCGCCAACTTTCTGCAGAGTCAATCGCTACAGACCTCCAAACTTCATGTGGCCTTCAGATTAGCTCAAGAACAGCGTAGAGAGCTTCATGGAATGGGTTTCCATGGCCGAGCAGCTGCATCCAAGCCTTACATCACTAAGCGCAATGCAACGCATCAAATGCAGTGGTGTAAAGTGCCGCCACTGGACTCTAGAGCAGTGGAGACGTGTTCTCTGGAGTGATGAATCATGCTTCTCCATCTGGCAATCCGATGGACGAATCTTGGTTTGGTGGTTGCCAGGAGAACGGTATTTGTTAATTATTTGTAGTGGTACTTATCTGACTGCATTGTGCCAAGTGTAAAGTTTGGTGGAGGGGGATTATGGTATGGGGTTGTTTTTCAGGAGTTGGGCTCGGCCCCTTAGTTCCAGTGAAAGGAACTCTTAATGCTTCAGCAGACCAAGAGATTTTGGACAATTTTTACATAAATGCTGGATATGTGGCTAATTAACCAAAACTATTATCAGCATAATCTGTAATTGCAGTAATAAGAACAACAATAGAAAATTTCAATAATACTAATTTGTGTGCGTAACAGTCCAGTACAAAAGTGGATGTACTTACTTTACATGCACATTGATATAAACAAGTGCTGCAACTATTTCATGTTCCATTTAAAGACACATTACACTGTGCTTTTGTTTCATACTACTGACTCACAAACACAGCTTCGGTCATACACTGCAATAATACAGCATTTATTTTAGGGAATTAATTACACTAAACAATCACTCTACTATGTGAACAACACTGAGTACACATTTTTTTTTTCCAGTTGTTTTCATTTTAATACTATTAAGTTTGGTCAGCAGGGGAGGAGTGCACTCACTGCTGGACATCAAACTCCACCCACGAGCACGGCCATTAGCTTTCATGCCAAACACTGCTGTTTTATTGGCTGGCTACTGAAACATCTGCATGAATTAGTGTGTGCTTCATGTAAATGATATGTAAATGAGGTGCTGGTAGGCTGGTTTCATGCACTGAAGCTGATTTAAGCTGTGACAGCGAGAGTAAGAAGTGGACGGAAGCTCTGATTTAACTCTAAACAGAGCTGAGATGCTGTGTGTTGTGTTGTTTTTACTGCAGTTCTGCTGCAGCTGCTTCACATCAGGCCGTCTCTCTGTCTTTGTACAACACGCCAGCGATTCTGTAATCTTCTGTTTTCAAAAGAAGAACTTTTATATGTAGCATGAATGTTATAGACTCTGTTTATATTAAGCTAGCTATACTGGCTAGAAGCTACTGCTAACCAAACTAGCCCGGCTAACATGAAGCAGCTTTTTCAGATGTTTTTTTCAGCTAGGAGTCTCGTTTTTGACTGAGCAGTGAAAGGTGGATGTTTTCTGAAGTGCTGCTTCAAAAATTGCCATGAAACTATAAGAATAATGCTCTTTGGCAGATCGCTAACATAGCCAGCGTTAGAGCTAACTTAACTTTAAAGTTTGCTGCTCATTCGAAGCTGGTGCTCAAATTGCTAATGCTAGGATAGCTAATTAGCGACTGTAGCCTGCTAGCCTACCGTAAGCTAATACAGTTTAAATGATGTCTATCAAATAGACTTTACATGTAAAAGTTTTTGTTTGTGTTTATGTCAGAAGTCTCTGCATCCTGTAGCTAAATGTGCCACAGAACCTGCTCCACGTTAGCCAGCTGGTGGCAGCAGCTGATGAAAGCTAACTAGGTTAGCTTCCTTATTTTGGGAACACAGCTACAGTTAGAAATGGCTTCTAGCGTTGCTAGCTAACCTAGCTACAGCTAAACAACGTCAACCAAATTCATACTACACAGAAGAACTTTAATTTCTTTTGAAAACAGAAATATTACAGAAATCGCTGGCATGTTGTTCAACTACAGAGACACTGCTTGATGTGAGCAGCTGCAGCAGCAGTAAGCAGGGCTGCACCACACACAGCATTTCAGCTGTTAAATCAGTGCTTCCGTTCACTTCCTTTTGTCATGAACTATAGTGCTCAAATACTGAGCTACAACAGACATATGTTAGTTTTCGTGCAATATCATGACAAAATGGCCATTAGATCTTTACATTTTGACCATTAATTACTTCTTAAATTCCTCTTACTTAACCATTAATTACTGATTTTGTGTTGTCACTTTACTTGGAGGGACACAAAAGCAGTAATTAATGGTTAAGTAAGAGGAATTTAAGAAGCAATGAATGGTTGATTAAGTGGTTTGGCATGAAAGCTAATGGCTGTGCTCGTGGGTGGAGTTTGATGTCCAGCAGTGAGTGCACTCCTCCCCTGCTGACCAAACTTAATAGTATTAAAATGAAAACAACTGGAAAAAATAAAATGTGAAATAAAACTAAATACTCAGTGTTGTTAACATAGTAGAGTGATTGTTTAGTGTAATTAATTCCCTAAAATAAATGCTGTATTACTGCAGTGTATGACCGAAGCTGTGTTTGTGAGTCAGTAGCATGAAACAAAAGCACAGTGTAATGTGTCTTTAAATGGAACATGAAATAGTTGCAGCACTTGTTTATATCAATGTGCATGTAAAGTAAGTACATCCACTTTTGTATTGGACTGTCATGCACACAAATTAGTATTATTGAAATTTTCTATTGTTGTTCTTATTTTTGCAATTACAGATTATGTTGATAATAGTTTTGGTTAATTAGCCACATATCCAGCATTTATGCCCAAATTTACATGCACTCCTACCAGATATGAGTACAGATATGCCAAGATGAACGTGATGAATAACAAAACCGTCCATGAATTTGTGTGCGCTCGTCTTACAGTCAGATGTGACCATAAGCATCTTTAATGAACAAGAACCAAAGTAAGAAACGTGAAGCAACTGAATATATGGAGGTGATGGAAAGTTAATTAACAGATATTTAATTAAACTAATAGTTGATTATTATATATTTAATGATTGATTAGCGACCCTTAATGTAAAGTGTTACCGTTTCCGTTTATACTGTTCTTGATCATCATTAACTCCTAGTTCATTAATAGTGAAGAACCATGTGTTTCACTTTATACTGTTCCTGATCATGATTAACTCCTAGTTCATTAATAAAGAGTTACCATGTGTTTCACTTTATAAAACTGTTCTTGATCATCATTGACTCCTAGTTCATTAATAATGAGACCATTGTTTAATTTTATATTGTTCCTGATCATCATTGTCTTCTAATGAAGAACAACAACACCTCATTCATTATCTAACAGACAGTAATTACATAATCACTTGGTAATATGTAGAACCAAGTGAATTTGAAAGCAGGACACATACACAGTCAGATATTTACATGAGCCCTCTCTATAACTGACCCTGCCCTCAAAATTTATGAGTAGTTATTCTAAGAAACCATAGTTACTAAGTAATTCTCTATGAGACTCAGTAGTTATTGTTTAGTTAATAGTGAACTGCCCAAATCATTATTTCCCTATTACCTATTGATAACTCATATAGTTCACTCAGTCCTTGGTAGTTAAGAGTAGTTACTTAAGTGCTAATGCAGTACTACTCATTCATTCCTGCTTAGTTCCTGATTAGTTACTCATTAACTACGAAACAGTATTGTAAGGTGTTACTGAACATAGAATCAATTGAAAATCAATTGAAAATCAAGTTGAAAAGATAAAACACTACTTATCTTGCCTTTTGTACTGTTTGTCTTCAAATACAGGTCAAAGTGGGTTTATAGATCACTGCTGTCTATTTTATTTACATTTTACCTACTGTCTGAACTTTCTTGGAACTGGGTTTGTAGCTTTGTAATTCTCTTAGTTGCTGCATTTCTTGTTTTTTTTTAATCATGTTTTCTCCCTTTTCTCCTTTCCCTGGTTTTAGCAAAATTGATCATGTCTTAAATTTCTTTGCCTTTTTGTCTTTTCACCCCTGCCTGTCCTAATGACTATGATTTTTGCTATACACAACTACATGCAATTACATGGACTAATTCATCTCAGTGATTAATTCACAACTGATACATTTTACTTTGTTATGCATAGCCATACCTGCAGTGCATGTACTGAAGCCTTTTTTGGTCTGGATGCCAAAACCACAGTCACACCTGCAGCTGCCATCAGATGAGTTACAGTAATTATTCAGCCCACAGGAAGATTTACTGCAGGAGGAATGACCTGTGGAAGAAATAGTTTATTAGAGCAAGCCAGCCACATTCTTAGAAACAGAGCTTCACATCTGTACCTCATGTTGCCATAACTTATAACTCTGGGTCTGGGCTGGTTTTGCCCTTGTGGTAGAATTCAGTTTTAAGAAATTTAAGCAAAATTCATTAAAAAAAAATTCAAGGCAAATGTTCAAAACCCAAGAAGATGTTTTCCTGTATATAGTTTCTCCCTGAATGTAACTGGATCCACTTAATTATGAGGTTGTTTAGTGGTTAAAAGGAAAGTTTAGTACTGCAGCCATGCTACCTGCACATTTAATTGATGTCACTTGTAAGTAAAGCTACGACTAACTTCAGTAAACTTCATCTCTATTCTATACACAACACTAACTACTCAATCTGTACTTTACTAAAGCCAAAGCAACTTAAACACCACAATAAACACAGCTTCCTGGTTGGAGTTTGGTAGTTTGGTGAATTTTCCAGTCTTATGATTACTATGATGATTACCGAGGTATGAAAGTGGTGATTTTTGAAAATTAATTTTTTTTTCATTAGAAAACGTTTTCATGAAGAAAACTGACTTACATGCAGCATTTGGGCACAATGTGACTAAAACGTTATGGATGACTAAAGAGGTCTGTTTAAGTTCCTAAGTGGTTTGTGGCTTGGATATGTGCCCAGTGGTTCTATGTTTTGCTGTTGAGCCAATGGATCCATTTGGCATTCGTTAAATTAATAGAAGTAAAGTACTGAGTGTAGGGGTGGGGGAAAAACTTGATTCTTAGATGCATCGCGATGCGAACGTGAACGATTCTGAATTGATTCATAAATGTCAAAAATCGATTTTCTAAATATTTAATTTATAACGTAATGTTGATGGAACGCAAAAGGCGGAATGTGGAAGTGGGTAAGTGCAGCACCCGGACAGTCTGTGGCGGCACATAACAAAAACACAAGTGGATGAGTGAGAAATCCAACCAGCACCCTCTGCATTAAAGCCAGGTTAGATCAGGAGTCACAACCGAGATGTTAAAAAGAGCCATTTTGTCCTTTCAACAAAAATCTAACCACCTTGGGAGCCACAACATTTAATGTCCAGTATGTGTCAGTATGTGTTAATGTCCTAGTATAGACTAAACAATATAAACGCGAGCGCAGACTTACTTTGCCCTGCATTAAGCCTTAGCTATAGCCGCTTTCCTCCCATCTCCGCCAGAAAACTTTTCTTCAGAAGTAGATAAGCTTATTGTAAAATGTCTCTCAATGTTCGACTGATTTACAAAACTGAAGTCGCTTCTCGTTCACCAGCTTCTCGTTCGAATTTTCCTGTTCCACCTTAAATTCTGCCTGAGGTGCTGAATGTAACTGCTGCACATTTAAGGTGGAATGAGAAAATTCGAAAGAGAAGCGACTTCATCTTCGCAGCGTTTTAGTGTTTGATAGTCTCTCATTGCAGATTTAACATATCAGGAAACCAACTACATTGCTTATAAATGCGAGTAAGTCCATTCGTCACAAATGTTCATCTTAATTCTCTGTCCGTCTTTTCGTTCGCTACTGGCTATGCGAGACTTCATTGCTATGTGACCTGCAGTCTGCACGCCAGTTCTCAGTTGTTGAGAACCAGGGCTTTTGCGCTGTGTTGCACACTTTGGAGCTGAGATTCAGCGTCCAGTCTTGAAGATATATTTAACTGACACAGCGACTCCCCCCCCCACCCTCTACAATGAGACCAAAACCGAAGTTATAAAATCACTAAAGAAAACGGGTAGAATAGCGGTAATGTGCTGCGTGGACATCCACTACCACTGGATCTTATGTCACCCTAACAGTGCATTTTATTGCAGATGAGAGGCAGCCAGTGTCTCATGTGCTCCAAACAAGAGCAGTGAATGAGAGCCTTCTAGTTCACTTGCCACATCACTTCCATTTGATTTATTAATGAAAGATATAGGAAGTAAATGCATTATGGATCATTACAAACACTTTGCTTTAAAACTACCAAGTCCTCAGACAGTAGGAAAATAGAAATCCTGTATAGAAAAAAAAAAGATGCATCAAGATGCATCAATAATCGTTTAATAATCATATCGCAGCCCTCTGAATCGTAATCAAATCGAATCGTGAGGTGCCTAAAGATTCCCACCCCTAATTGAGTGTGATCCTTGTGTCAGATGAGTGCAATGGGAAGTGAGAAGTTATAGTAGCTATAGTTGAGAAGGAGTTCTTTTCATCAAATGCTGTCCATTTTTCTCTCCAAACACTGGTGATTGCAGCCAAAGAGTTCCATTGTTCCATTATTCTACAGTACTTGTTTCCAAAATGCTTCTGGCATATCTAGAAGTTTTTCTTCATACTTCAGGCATTTACTTTTATGATGATTTTATTCTTCCATGCAGATTATGTTTGTGTAAACAATGCTACAGTGTAGAACGGTGTTCCCCCACTCCTGTGCCAGCTGCTCCTTCCTTCGATCCCCTTGGCTGATAGCATGTGACTGAAGTGCCCTTGAGCAAGGCACCTAACCCCCAACTGCTCCCTGGGTGCTGTGGATAGGGCTGCCCACTGCCCCAGGCAAGTGTGCTCACTACCCCCTAGTGTGTGTGTTCACTAGTGTGCATGTATGTGGGTGTTTCACAAGTCTAATTCCTCTGTGTGCAAACACTGTTGGCTAATGGTTTTGAATTTATTGCCATTTAGAAGGTTTGCTTTACCTTTATGACTAGCATATGAGCAGCTCCACCAAAGAGATTTCTTGGTGTTCCCTTATCTTAGCTTGACTTCCACAGTTCCAATTAACTGCTATTTCTTAATGACATTTGGATAGTGGAAATTGTGAGCTAGAAGAGCCTTGATATCTTTTCTATAGTCTTTCCCTGCTTTGTAGGCATCAGTTAGCTTTATTTTCAGATCCACTGTCAGCTGTTTAGAGGATCCTATGGTTGTTGAGTTCTAGCACAAAGTTTAAAGAGAATTTATTATGTTATCATTGCCAGTCCAACCTGGCAATTTAGGCCACCAGTATATATTTATTTACATATTTATTTATTTTTCGCATATATACAACCCCATTTCCCAAAAAGTTGGGATGCTGTACAAAATGTAAATATATGTATGCAGTCATGTGCAAATCACTTAAACCCTGTATTTAATAGAAAATAGTACAAAGTACAAATGAAATGTTGAATTTGGGAAATTGTTATTGTATTTTAAAACAAAAAAAAATGTGCCCGTTTTGAATATGATGCCTGCAACAAATTTTGAAATGATTGGGAGAGGAGTAACAGAAGACTGGTAAAGTCGTGTAATGCTAAAAAAAAAAAACAAACAAACAAAAAAACCCGGTGGAACATCTCGTAACTAATTACGTTAATTGGCAACATGTCGGTAACCTGATTGGGTAAAAAGAGCATCCCAGAGAGGCTGAGTCATTCAGAAGTAAAGATGGGGAAGGGTGACTGCATGGGAAAATTTCGAAGAATTCTGAGAAATCCAGAGAAATTTCTGTATGCAAGGGACAAGACCAAAAAAACAATATTCACGGACCATGAACTTTGGACAATCAGGTGGCACTGCACCTGCACCTGCACAATTCTGTAGTGGAAATCACTTCATGGGCTCAGAAACACTTCTGAAAACAATTGCCTGTGAACAAAGCATCCACAAATGCAAGTTAAAACTCATGCAAAGAAGAAACCGTATGTAAACAGGATCCAGTAACACTGTCACCTTCTCTGGGCCTGAGCTCATGTAAAATAGACTGAGGCAAAGTAGAAAAGTATCCTGTGGTCCGACTAATCAAAATTAAAATTTTTTTTGGAAACCATGGACACCGCGTCCTCCAGGCTAAAGAGGAGAGAGACCATCTGGTTTGTTATCAGTGTACAGTTCAAAAGCCAGCATCCGTGTTGATATGGGGGTGCATTAGTGCATATGGCATGGGTGACTTGCACATCTGTGAAGTCACCATTAATGCTGAAGGATATGTACAGGTTTTGGCACCATATGCTGCCATCTAGACAACATCTTTTTCAGGGAAGGCCTTGCTTATTTCAGCAAGACAATGCCAAACCACATTACAGAAGTATGGCTCCATAGTAACCCATTAAAAACCTGTCACTCATTGAAAACATTTGCTGCATTATGAAACAAAATATACGACAAAGGACATGTCGAACTGTTGAGCAGCTGAAATCCTATATCAAGCAAGAATGGGAAAATATTTCACTTTCAAAACTACAGCATTTGGTCCCCTCAGTTCCCAAATGCTCACAGAGTGTTGTTAGAAGAAGAGGTAATCAAATTATCACAATAACATTCCCGTGTCCCAACTTTTTAAAATGTGTTTCTGGCATCAATTCAAAATGGGCATATATATATATATATATATATATATACATATATATATATATATATATATATATAGTTAATAAGTTAATAAGAGTTGATATGTTCTCTTTGTACTACTTTCAAAAAAAACATTTAAATGATTTGCACATCATTGCATTCTGTTTTTATTTACATTTTACTTAAACGGGGTTGTTTATTATGTACAAAGTTACTATGCAGTTGCATTTGCAACAAAATGTTGATTTTTCAACAAAAACCACAAAAACCCTTGAATTTGTTAAGAAAGAACTAAAGTATGATCTTATTTATATATAATGAGTAGTCCATCTGAGTGTTCAGGGACTCCTAAGCAGCCATCCATGACTTTTTTACTGGGTTATTAATATGAAGTGACAAAGAGGCCAAATTCCTTCATTGATCAACATGTGAAAGATTGGAGAAAACACAAATGAAATGATCTTGTGTAATATTAATATTAATAATAATAACTCAAAACACTTTTAGTTTTGCTATTTAAAGACATCCATAAGTAAGTCATTTTGTACTTCTGCTCCAGTAATATTTTACTAAGAGTTCCTTACTTTTATTAAGGTGCAGGAGTATTGTACTTATTCCACCCCCATCTACAACAAATACTGTAATTCTACAAAGTCAAGTCTCAACACTTGCATCTTATGACAAAATCATGCGATGGCTTTAAACATACTCACATGTCCTGTAAACTCCTCTGATTGGAACGAGGTAGTAGAGGATCAGTCCTGCACCACAGTCTAGATTCTGTACACTGACAGTGTCCCTTATGCAGTAGTAGGCCATTCGGTCCCCACTAAAACCTTTAAAGCGGTACCATCCTTCTTGCAAGTTCAGGTCTTTCATTTGCAAGTTAGGGTAAGAGCTGAGGTTAAAACCAATGTTCCTCCATGGATCAGACAGATTGTTGTGACGTTGACAAACATCTGACAACAAGAAGATTGAGTAGGAGTGAATAGCTCCACATGTATATACATGCTAACACAGTAGATTAAATATACAAAAAAATATATTTTTTTCAGACATTTGATGAGCACTACCATAGTCAAGGCATTCTCCCCACTTTCCATCTCTGGTGTAGTTATCAGTCGTGCTGCACCATGGGTTAGGGTGATGAAAAATCACACAGTCATTGTAAAACGCTCCATTGTAAAAGAATGGAAAAATACATGGAGCTCCTTTAGAATTCCCGTTAGCCGTGACACTGCCTGAGCAACACCAAAATGTTAAACATTACAGGTTAATAACTGACATCTGCTTAAAAAAGCTTGATCCTGTAGGCCAAGTTGTAATGGTATATATTGTTATATGTTATAGGTGAAAAGCCCCCAATAAATATTTTACATAATGACTTCAGTTTTTTACTGATAGATTTCATAATGAAATTATTTATGTCTCTTCTCTTTTAACATTATCAAGTGTGTTTTATATTATGTATTAAAAAAAATAATTAAATAAAGAACAGCAAAGATGAAAAGTCCAGCTGAAACCATTCTATGCATTGAATCTCAGACTGGTTCCTTTTGAATCAACTAACTGACCAATCGAAGCATTTTTAGTCAACATAGACCACGTCAGTTTACTAATCATATTTACTTTGTTATATATGTATTCACTTATTTGTTATATTCTCACAATCTGTAGATATTTCTGTAAATGGACATTTGGACAATGTATGCAGGGAGTCTCTGTATACATTTAAGTGTTTTATTTTATTGAGCATCTTGTACTGTAGTTATCTTGATTCTAAGCAAATGTAAAGAAACTCTGCAAATGACAATTTACTTAATGCTCAATTTTTAATAGCTTCTAACTTAGAACATGACACCTTTTGTTTGAAACCATCCATATTTCAAGTGAACAAAAATATTGGAACATGTGACTGGCCAGTGTTTTTTCCTTGTACAGGTGTGCCCTGTTAGATTGATTGTTTAAACACTTAAAAACCACAAGATGAAAACTACTCATCAGCCGTGAGAATTGGAAAGACATACAGAGAGCTAAACTGTGGATGAAGAAAGAATATGCTCATGATCCAGAACACACAAGGTTATCGGTCAAGCATGGTGAAGGTAATGTCAGGGCTTGTGCTTGCATGGCTTCTTTTGGAACAGGCTCATTAATCTTTATTGATGATGTAACTGATGATTGTAGCAGCAGAATGAATACAGAACTCTTTCTGTCTGCCAGTTTACAGAGAAATTAATCCAATCTAATCTGGACAGACTTCATTCTGCATCAAGATAATGACCCAAAATACACAAAAGCCTTCCTCAGGGGAAAAAAATATAAAGGTCTAGACTAGCCGAGTCAACCATCAGACCCTAACGAACTGAAATAAGTTGTGAAAAAAGGAAAAAAAAAGCAAAGACATCACAAAAGAAGAATGCAACAACTTGGTGATATCAGTGGGTCACCAGATTGAAGCAGTTATTGCAAGCAAAGGATATGTACAGAAATAATAAGTATAATTAACTTTAATTTATCTTAAGGCTATCTGTTCCTATACTTTTCCTCACCTAAGAATTGGGTAGTGTGCCACCAAAGATGCCATGTTCTAAGTTGCTTAACACATCTAGATGTAATGATCAGGAAATAAAAGCTGAATTTCTGATCCATGATCTCATATTAATCTTTTGATTTCAAATCCAAATGTCTTCAGTGGACAGCAAAAACAAAAGAATTGGCTTTGTCATTCCAATACTTTTGGAGGAGAGTGTAAGTTGGGTTTGAATTTCATTTTTCATAGTTATTACCACTTTTTTACCTGAAGTAAAATTAGCGTGGCTGTTTTTGCTAAATCCAGGCATTAAGGAGGTAAGAGTTTCATTAATTTCTACAATATGAGCTTTTATTATTTTGGAGCTTCAGCAATAATTGCAAATTGTGAACTTCAAATTACAAACATTCATAAACTTTATTATATTTTTCCTGTGGCACAGGACGTTTCTGAATGTTTTGTATTACAACTGAGCCTGACAGTTTTGAAAAAAACAAGTCTTTGAAAAACTTGGTCTTAAACAACCAGTGAATCAATATATTTTTTTTTTATCTTGTTTTATAAACATGACATGACTGCATGATATAATAAATTAGTTCAGCTTGACTAATTCTGGCACAAAGGGCCATAAAGTAATTAGTGATACTCTGATTGTGCTCAAAGTTAATATATATGTTCAAAATAATCAGCTTAGGAATCTTTTGAAATTTAGCTTGATTCAGCCTTACAATGCTCAACATACTTCCAACAATCTAAAATATCAGAATTTCTGCCTTAGACTAAAATAAAGATATGCCGAAGGTTTCAAATTACACATTTCAATAAGATTTAAGACTTTCAAAATATATGCATGTTCCTATTTTGCACACAATATCCTGTAATTTGATTAAACCCATCTTGATCACAGAATCAGATGTGGCTATATTTTGTCAGAACATTGGAGGGAGCTTCAGCAGTAACAGCAAATGTCATACTTCAAACATATAAACATTCAGGAGCTTTACTGTATTTATTTCTTGACAAATAATATTTCTGAATTTTACACATTCCACTGAGCCTGACAAGTTTGCAAATATGTCTTTAAAAAAATGGTTTTGTTTGTTTTTGTGTTGTTTCCCAGCAAATTATCAAATTTGTGATTTCATATTCCTCCCTGGATTTTTATTGCCTCACCTCACAATTGGTCTTAAAACAACTGGTGAAGTTTCATGGTCAATAAGCACAGGGTGATTCAAAAAGATTCATCCAGTTTCAGAAGGATTTATTTCACTTGTAAACCATTACAGAACAATGCAGTAAATTGAAAATGGTTTAAGTGAGCATAAAGTTTATTATGTAATTTTACAAGTGCTCATTATGACTCCTCCAGCTGTATGGACAACATCAACGCGATAGTCAAATTCATTTCATACTGGATTGAGCATGTTGGGGGTCACTGTACTCAAGGCTCTTTCAATGCGATTTCAGAGATCATCCAGTGTTGTGGAACCAACAACGAATGCTCTGAGCTGTTGGAGGTTCACTGCTGGCAAAAAACACATTGCACAGCTGTGATGGGTTCACTCTTATTGAAGTGGAGAACACTTTCTGCTCAGGGGTCACCATCTCCTTGCAGACTGAAGGGAGCCATCTTCCAGTGATGGTCAGAAACTCTATGACCCCCTCTTTTAATTGGTATGTGATTGGTTCCTAGTTGCCTAACGGTTGTAAAAATATAGCGCTTTTGAAATCAGATCCTTTTCAATCACCCTATATTAAACAAAAACTGTAGGACAGCAAGTTATGCTTTAGTCAGGCTGGCCTGGCTTATTCTGACACAAGGGGTTATAAATCCACTTTGATGCACCTGATTGTGACCAAATTTGATATGCTGAGGAAGCATTTAATATCTGGCTTGAATTGGCCTGGGTTGGCTCTTGCAGTGCTTAATGTACTGCCAATAATTTGAATTATCATTATTTAAGATTAAAATAAAGAAGTGATAATGGATTCATATTACACTTTTCAATAAGACCTAACACATAGCAAATTATGTTCCTAAATTGCAATAAATAAATAAATAAATAAATAAATAAATCCTGTAATTTGATTTAAACCCATCTAAATCACATGGTGAGGTGTGGTTATTTTGGCTGAACACTAGAGGGATTGCAATTCAAATCAAGCAATCAAATCATCATAAGTGTTACTGTATTAGTATTTTGGCAGAGATGTTTTGTGAATGTTATGAATTCCACAGAGCCTGACAATTTTGCAAATACATGTCTTTTAAAAAATTAATCAAAGTTTAAAACGTGAATTTTTCAGACTCCTCCCTGGATTTTACAGGCTCTAAAACTTGGACTTAAAACAACTGCCAATGTCTCTATGCCTTTTAAGCACAGTATGGTTGCATGATACGAGTCAGTCCTTGCAGAATGGCTTATTCTAACACAAGGGGACATAAATCCATCAGTGATGCCTTGATTGTGACCAAATTTGAAATGTACATACATACAAATTATTTGAGGGATTGTTTGAAGTTTGGCTTGAATTTGCCACAGTTGGTTCTTAAAATGCTTAATGAACTGCCAACAATCTAACGTATCATTATTTCTTTCTAAGATTAAAATAAAGAAATAATAATGGCTTCAAATTGCACGTCACTAAGACTTAACAATTTTCAAATACATGCATGTTCCTAAATAACACAGGACATGAAAAAATGTTTTACACTAAAAACATATAACACTAAAGGTGCAAGTGGGCTTATAAGTGGGTGAATTTGGGGGCTTTTCCTTTATATATTGTTATATATTGTTATATATTACATTCATAGTTATATATCTGTAGAGCTCAAGTGATGCTAACAGTAATGTTACAGAGCATGAGTGAAGGTGAGTGTAGGCTTTACTTACAGTAAAGTGCAGGTCTAATCCCTTTGCGAAGGGCATTGCATTTTGTGGCTGTAGATGGTTTTGTAGGTAGTGCTGCAGTTAGTACTGTAGGTAGTTCTGTAGTTAGTATGAGCACAATGACCCCTGGTGGAGAGATATGCATGTTTAACCAGTTCCAATCAGTGGCAGTACACAAGCTTTACAAATTCAAGTTTTATTTTAATTATTAATCGACAGTTAAATCCTAAAGCAACCAATGATTATTTCAATAAGGCTTTGCCATTAAAGTGTAGTGATTCTGCATTGTTTTAATACATAAATCAATTATTTTTTAAAAATCACAAATAATGCATTGTAATTTTATTTATATTCAAAGGCAAAACACTGCCTTTTTATTTAGATCATATTCTAACAGGATTAAAGAAGTATTTGATAGCCTACTGTTAGAAATTGTAGAATATTCTTTGGAAACAGGCATTTTTTCTAGACACACCAAATACAGCAGTAGTGAGAACTTTATTGAAGAAACCTAGCCTTTATTTTTCAGTTTTTTTTGCAGTTCTAGATAGGGCTGTAATCAAGAACACATTTGTTGAATGCAATCATAGTCCAAGACCATGACTGGTTGAGATCAAATCAAGACTGAGTCTAAAGGGGCCCAAGACCAACTCAAGATGCAGGATGAGTCTAAATAAAAGCAAGACTGAATAAAGCCAATAAAGCCAGAGTCCAAATGAAAGTGAGACAGAGTCAAGACCTAAATATCCAACCCTTAATTAATTTTTTATCTCTTTCCCATAAATTACTGGAAAAATATAAAGAAAGATTTTCTTTCTACAAAGCAAAATTGTATGTACAAAAAATCCTCCTCTACTTACAAACAGAAATGTGACATGAATGTAAATTAACCTCTGAAATGCTTCACCTCTGTGCAACACTTTACTGCCAGGTTCGATGCCATCCAATCAAGAGTTGGAGACATGCTTTTCAAACTACTGTAAACTCCAGCCTTCCTACATAATGTCACTAACCAATAAGAGACATTAAACTACAGATACTGTTATTTAACTCGCTAATTGCAAATATATGCCTCTGAGTACATTTAATAATGATCACTAGGCAAAACAGTTATGCAAGGCTGTCAAAATTAGTAAAACCTCATTTATATGACAGAGCACTGTTGTATGAACAAATGTTAGATTTAGTTTCCTCAGTTGCGACAGCTGTATCTGGCAATACATACACAACAAGATACCCCTGTGACAGAATGCTTCAGAGTTACTTAAATAAATGGCATATATAAAGAACAGCAAATAATTTAGGCTACTTGTTGAGATAAAATGTAATTTTAATAAATCTATTTACCCAATTAAAACATCAGTTAAATAGCAGGAATGAACCCAAAAGTACATACAAGATTGTGAAAATCAGCAGAGGAGGGCCGCTTAAATATATAGGGACAAAAAATAAATTACCTTGAAGGGTGGGGATGAGAATGTTTAACTAGAGGTTAAGAGGTTTAAACTAGAGTTTTACAGCACCAGAGCTCAGCTCTGTTTGCGTGGAGATTAACTGGTGCTGAAGCTCCAGTTCACTCTGGCCCAGTTCTTCCCCTGAGTTAAGTATGAGGCCAAGCATGCTGGTGACAGTTAAAAGAAAGAAAATATTTTCTTTTCTTTTTTTTTAAATGATAATTGAACTTGGTTGAAACCAGAAAATAAATGTGGTAGGACTGTAGTGGGGGATTGCCACTTAATTCATCTATTTCTCACTTAAAAGTAATTTCTCACTTACTTTTAGCTTCATCTCACATTAGGGTTTTCCTGTAGCCTGTGATTGTTTAATCAGATTGTGATAATTACACACACCACTAAACAAGTGATAACTTTAATAAAGGGTGATTTATTAAGAACAAGGTCAATAGGCACTAAATACCAGATTAATATGTATGCACAGAGAAATTAGAGACATGAGATTCACCGGATGAACATACTGTAGCTGAAACTCAGAAATAGTTATTTTATGGGATTTGAGCAATACGCAGAATGGAATATAAATGCTAGTGTAGCAACTAATCCAGGTTCAAAATAAATACAAATTTGAGGGTGCCTTACTGCTTATTCATAGAGGAGGTTGAGAGCCCCTGGTGTTGTGTGTATGTGGACTGGATGATCTCTGGTTAGGGGCGATGCAATAGGAGAGGTGAACCCCAAGAGTGTCACATCCAACCAGACATGGATTGGCAACACAGGCTACCAGCTGGCTCGGCCAGTATTTGTGAAGATGACGGTGAAGATGACAGACTCTTCTGTTTTTTTCTGCAGTAGCTGGCTGGTGATGTATGGGCCGCTAAAGCAAACTTCTGTGATGGCTTGCTGGTGCTGTTTTATTTCTATCTGAAATTCTTAAAGTATGCTCACAGATTTTGCAATGACCTATTGTTGGCCAATCAAAATTTTCAAATGGAATCAACACAGTCAAATAATCAACAACACTTCTTCCATATTTCTATGTGAGTGAAGAAAAAAAAGCAAACTGAACATAGACATGATGAACTGAGACATGAAACAAACAAAAAATCTGTAGATTTAAATTGCAAAGTATGAGCTCTTAAATTCTTGTGTTACCTTTTTTCTCATTCTTTTCTGTCTGTCCTGCTGTCCTTTTTGTGGGTGGAGCTAAGGTGAGGAAAAAGCGGTTTCTGGCTTTATTTCCTAATGAATGGGCAATCTCTATGTCTGAGTATCTGCTCAAATTCATCATAAAATAACTTCACATACATAGATTTCTGAGCGTGGTTGCATAACATAAAGTAAAAGAATATTATAATACTCTAATTTCATATTAGCATTATTACTGTTTTAAAGGTAAAAATTTCCAGAAACTGATGAACATACAACCTATTATATTTGAAGTACTCTGATTTCACACAATGGTTACATAAAGTTACTTGGAACGATGAATGATTACTAAGAAAAGGAATTGAAATTTCTTAAGAACATAATTCTGAAGTTAGTGTTAATCAACACTATAACCTCTCTAAACAATGCTTAAATAAAAGAGAAGTTACAATTTATAGAATAAAAGAAAGACAATGTACATTATCAACTTAACAGTGGATATTTATGGCAGAACCTCTATTATGCTTGAAGTATTGCATTTTTCGTGGGAATAGTTACACAAGTTACACATTTACTTACACAGTTCTACTTCAAGGAGGAAGTTAAATTAACATGATTACAAAGGAATAAAGCAAATATGAGGGTAAAACATGATTCACAGGAATATATTTAACTTTCTAACCTTATTAGATTTCTAAAACTAATTAAATGAGAAGGATTTCTAAACTATCAAAACAATAATTTAAATGAAAGAAACGGGTTACAGTTTTAGAGTCATAAAATAACTATAACAGATGTAGGAAATCTTAGTATTAATTCATATCAGTTCTTCATGGGGTAATATGAGTTTGAGTTACACATTGATATTTTAACAGAGAGACATAGAGAACATTCACAGTTTAATAAGAAAAGCATTAGTCATTCGATTTGATTAAAGATTGGCATGCTGTACAGTTTGCAACAGAGTGGGAGAATCAAGCTGGGGTTTTAAACTAAGGAAGGAATTTATGACCTACGGAATGCACTCATATGCAAGGGGGTGGTGGGAAAGTGTGGTGAACTGTGTGTTTGCAAAAAGTGATTTTGTGAGTGGGTCCATCAGCACTGCAGACTTGGGTTATCTGGCTGTGGTGTATTTTATCTTGGTCCTTGAGCCAGATGTCTTCCTCACACAATGGCTGTAAAAGGTTGAGGAAGGTGTAGGACGATAAGATGTATGTGTGTGGGGAAGATAGATAGATAGATAGATAGAGGGACCCCAGAAGGGAATTTCCGAAAGTCGTAAAACTTAGTTTGTATCCAGAATTTACTTTTGTTAAGTCAAAAGTCTCCAGACATACTAAGTTGGTTGAGAAGAGAGATGGTTATGAGGTCAAGTACTCCTCTCTTGTACATGCTGCCATGAAGTAAGAAAGATGTCAGATAAGGGGGTTGAGAGAGTCCTTAGAGAATTCTGGGGCCATAAACTTGGTGGGCCAGATTTTGACCAGACATCCTGATGTCTTGTGATTCCTCTTTCTATCTTAAGTCAAAAGGGTTAACTTTGTCCCAAGAATTCTGCTCAGTTCATGAATAACAGTAACTGAATCTGCTACAGGACTGATGGCTAAGATCAAGATACAAAATCAGAGAACAAATACTACTGAGTTCAAGGCAAGTCTGAGCCAATAAAAAAAGTAAATGAAAAATGAATGATAGAATTATATTCTCTGTGAGGTACCGCCAGGCTCTGTACTTGGTCCACTTTTTTTTCTTTGTTTATGTTACTGCTGTGTCAGATTATTAAAAAGCATGGAGCAGGGGTATCGCAAAGCCAGTTTTAGGTGGGCTAAATATTATTTAGCTTCTATGCCAAGTAAATGTACATTACTAGTTCAAATCATCTATAGTTTATTCTCATCCATTCTTCATTACTCAACCACGCCATCAACCTGAGGAAGGCACACCTGCTGCTCTAATGCAATGGTGCCTCTGCTGTGCTCCCAGTGATTTACTAACATAATGTGCAAAATGAAACCCCAATTATATAAGACCTTATAAGATGTAAGCCGATCTCTATCAGATCTGGGGAAGGTCTCAGGTTTTACTCACTCTGCAAAGTGACATCGGTCAGTAACTACTGAAGATGAAGACAAGATTTTGGCTATAAGCTCACTTAAAATAAACATTAGACCTTTTTCAAAATCTGAAATATATGGAGTGAAACAGTATATTCTTACAAAGTGAAGATACAATATAGATTTGTGGCAAAATATATTTGGAGCATTAGGAGAAATCTAACATTAACTTTAGGCCTGTACAACAAACACAAGCTGATTTAATCTCAAATTGGGTCAGTGGAATCACTCGCAGTCAAGTGACCTGCATTGGCAGTTACAAAAGCACCTAAATAATAAACAGCTTTGATAGATGGAGTATTTATTGACTGGATATGAAATGAAACAGTGAATAGCCATTAACGATGGATTGATAGGTATGCATAAAACTAGACACACATCATTCATCTCATGAACATATAAGAGTTGGCTGAGAATAGCTATTTTATGGAGAATTAAGCAGCATCAGAGAGTAGAGGCTAGTGTAACAACTGATCAAGGTTTAAATTAAAAAGGGGGCAGAGTAACACAGCACAGAGCCTGAGGTGGGTGTGCCTTACTGCTTGATTAGTGGAGGATGAGAACCACTGTTCGGTGGGCTGATGACCCAGTGATCCGGGCCTCCAGAGAATAAACCCCAAAAGCACCTCTGCTTAGGGCCTGGACTTGGCTTGAGGGGGCTCAGCTGGTTGGTTGGTCTCTCAGGAGGCTGGGAGCTTGCCAGTTCTTCTGCAGTAGCTGGTGACATCAAGCCGTAGTTTGAACGGGTCGCGGAGGCAGACTGCTATGGTGGCTTTGCAGGTTGGCACTGGTTTATTTCTGTCTGTAACTTCTATAATTTCTGTCTGTGAGTCTAATACCTGTTGGGAATTGTTTTATTTTGTTTTATTTTCTAGTTTTCTGTTTTTTTCCCTTTGTTTTAGTTGTTATTCATTGTTAAACAGAATGCTGAAGGGTTGTTTTTTGGGACAGCCACTTATGCTCTGTTCTCATGGTTTGAACAATAAAAGCATTTTATGACACTTCCTAAAGACAGGAACAGAACACTCATCACAATATCAACTCTGGTCGTTTTATGACACTAAGGTATTTATGATAGGATCTACTCCTACTTTGGCCCTTTACGATGGTACCAAGGGACCTGGGGTTGATGATATAAGCATAAGAATTTTGGGACTGAGTTTCTGTTTTAGACTGGTTTTGGGAGCAGAACTAAGAAAGCGCTCATTCTTTCTTTGAATAAACCATCATTGATTCTGTGAACCCTAGTCTGCTGAATCTCCTCCAAGGCAAGATCAAAGATTTTCTTCATACCTAAAACACCTCTTTCAGATTACTGTAAGTGAGCAGTAAAAGAAGCAAAACTGAATGGAGACACAACAAACTGTGACACAGAAAAAAAAAAAAAATCTGCAGATTTAAAGTGCAAAGGATAGAGGGCTCTTCTTGTTCGTTCTTGCCGGCTACATTTTTTACTTTCCTTGCTTCCTGGAGTTAAAAATACTAAATTAAAAGCAGATGGCCATTTAATACTAGAGACTCATCTTTCTTAATCCATCCATCACAAAATAAAGTCACCCAAGTTCAGTCACATCTTCTCTTCATTCCACAACCCCACACAAAGAGACATATCTATCCTGCTAAATAAAAAGAACCAGAAGGATGGTTTATTATAATTTATTAAACATTAACATTAACAATACTCCTATAACCCTTGCAAATATTATGGCCTGAACACCGATGATCCATGCTTTCTGACTCACCGATCATTATTGGTGGTGACTTTAATACCATCCTTGACACACATTTAGACAGAACATCTTACCCACGCAGTACAAGAATTTGGCAATACCCAGAAACATTAAAGAAAACATTATTCTTTATACAATAATTCAGACATGAAGATTTTAAATATAGCAACAAAATTGGAAAATTCAGATAACAAACAACAATCCCAGCAATTAAAGACACAGCAGGCATGATCAGACAGACATCCCAAGAAATAAATAATGCTTTTAAAATATTCTAGAAAAATTTTAACTCATTTGAACATGCTCCAGTAACAGAAAATATCAATCTCTTTCTTAATAATGTAAAACTGCCAAAACTAACAGAAGAACAAAAAACACTCTAGATGACCATTAAGACCAGAAGAGTTCTATAATGCCCTCATGCAGTTGCCTAACAATAAAGCACTAAAGCCTGATGAAGTTTTATAAACATTTATGGACCATAATAGCCCCGGTTTTCAATAGAATGGTAGAAGTAAAATGGAATATGAAATGACCCACTCTCATAAGGATGCCCACTCTCTCTGTTCCTGTTCTTGATTTTTCTAGAACCATTAGCTGCCACTATCTGTCAAAATGCAAATATCAAGGGTATTCGGACGCTAAGCCTACAAAAATCACAAAATCTGTCTTTACGCATTTACTGTTTCTTCAAAACCCCACTTCTTCATTTCATGAAACTATATAATCAATCAGGAAATACCCCAAAATATTCAATTACTCAATTCTTCAGGGCCAAATGAACCATCCTACCTCTCAATATGAAGGTATCAAACACAACAGACCAGACTTTACCTATCCACCCAAGTTCTCAGCACATAACAAACAGCTGTCAGAGCTGTATAAACTTAACTTTAAGCCACTACTTAAAATTATAATTGATGAAGTTTAATCCCCCAGATAATACCTAAGACAATCCATTAAAAATTGACATGCTTATGTGATGCATATCACTGCATGGGCTTGGGAATACTTTGAGAACCATTGTCAATAAAGACTGCCCTTTGCTGTATCCGTGAATACAAATTAAAACTGTACTATGCTATGCACAGTAGAAGTCAAGAACATGTAGAAACCTTGCCGACTTCTCTGGGCTTGAGCTAATCTGAAATGGACTGATGCGTAGTAGAAGCATGTTTTGTGGTCTGATGGGCCAAACTTACAGATTGCTTGGAAAAAAAAAATCCCCTTTGTGTTCTAAAGAAGTAAAGGACTTCTTTAGATTGCTAAAGGACATTTGTAAGGATTTTTAGATTGTTACCAGCACAAAGTTTAAAAGCCAGGGTCTGTTGTCTCCTTGGGGAGTATTAGTAGGCAACTTGCACATCTGAGAAAGCACCATTAACACTGAATACATGTTGATATGCTGCCTTCAACATAACTCACTACAAATAGTTAGTCACTACCCACCCCTGATTTGCCAATGTAATTAACATGCCACTTTCACAAATAAGGATAATTTTACAAAATATTTCATACAGGATGTCTACAAGCCCCCCACGTGAACCCACCTTTCCCTAAAATGACAGAGGACCTTACTTACTTGTAAAATGGTAGTTGATATTCACATTCATTTTTCTAAATCCTTGATTCTCATCGACAGTTCACAGATAACAGATGAGATATGAGTCTGAAGATATGCAGCTGGGATTTTAATATTTGAAATTCTCATTCATTTGCATTTTGAGGGTGTGACTTGTCTAAAGGCAGTGGAACAGTTTTTCCACGAACAATGTATCTTTTGTCTACAGAAAACTATTGTTGTGTATGGTATCTGTACAAGATAAATTTGAATGTCACAAGCAGGATACGCATACAGATATGCAAATTCATCTGGGGCTGTTACATGTCACCACTCATTTGTGTTCTTTACTGGAAAATGTTTTTGAATATGTTTTCAAAAACAACAGTCTGTGGTTGATTTTTTGTATTTCAGTCAAATGACCCCTTTCCATGCTGGTTACTTGTAAATTTCTCCATTGTGGGACTAATAAAGGATTATCTTATCTTATCTTGGAGTACTGGGAATCCAACCATGTCTCATGTTGACATTATCTTTACATCAGGCAACCCTATTGCTGACAGACGTGCAGTCATCATCCAACCAGTGAGGCAGAGTTGTTAAATTTGTCTATTGAAATCAATACTGAATTTAATTGAGCTTAACAGAGAAAATACAATATTCGTCACTATGACCATGAAATTCTGTCACCTAGCTTTTTTTTTTCCCTTTTTTGTCGTAAGTCCCCAAACATTTATTAAAAGCTGTTAAAAGGAAAGGTGATGTAACACAGTGGAAAGCATATATATATATATATGATATATATATATACATATATATATATATATATATATATATATATGCATTAGTATATGATTCACTAGTTAAGAAGGCCTTAAAAGCTGATTACTGTTACGTGAGACTCTGTAGCTGTTAACTGCGCTCCGAATCAAATCAATCAGCCACAAGACTCCGGAGATCGACACCCTTTTCGGCTCTTCCTGTTGCCTTCGAATTGTGAATTAGCTACCTATGCTGAAGATTGCCACGAAAAAGTGGTAGGAGGCATTGTGACTCATTGGAAACTGCATGAATATGCACAAGTTCGACTTGTGTGACTACATGTGGCGCCCTTCCCTGTAATCTCTGGGGCTCTCTGGTGTTTGATTTAGTGCATTGCAAGTAACAGAAATCTCTGGAGTCCTCTCGTGGTTGATTTAGTGCATTGCAAGTGAGAGAAATCTCTGGTACCCTCTGGTGGTCAATTGAGTACATTGCAAATAAGTTAATCTTGCCTTCCTGTGTGGGTGCCCAGCACTGTAGAGGATAAACATAGAGGAAAATGACATGAATGTTTGAGTGAGTTTCGTCTTATGAAGACCAAAGTTTGGTTATTCTTCTGTTCTTCTTCTGATACATTTCTATTAATGTTGTGTTACCGTTTTATCAGTAGTGAACTAAATGTTCTCTGGACTTTTGTCGATTTTGTTGAACAGTGCGCTACATCTTATTTATTGTAAAGCTTTGGACTTTTGCCATTGGTTACAGTGTGCTGTCTCACGTATAGTGAAGCAGAATATGTGCTGCTCTCATGTTTCCTTTGACTATTGTCACGCATTCGGTGAACTCTCTGAAAGAAACGGACTTCATCTCCCAGAATCCTCTGGGAGATCACATGACTCGGCAACATCCCTCGGACTCCGACTCCGACACGGACTCCATTGCCCACAATTCTATAAGAGATCACGTGACTTCTGACACTGGCTCACGTTCCAATCAGCGCTCCAAATCACCTGAATATTAACTGGCAGCACCTGTGTAGTTTACTTTATAAGCCCGGGCTTTAGTCTAATTCAGTGCGAGGTATTGTTTCCTGTTGAACTACCGAGCGTTTGTATACTGACTGCCATTATCTCGTGTTTGAACCTTTGCTTTGTGTATATTGACTCTGCCTTTTTGTCTTTTCCCTTTTGTGCTTTTGCCTCTACGGACTGATCTGTGTTTTGGAACTTTTTGCCTGTATTTTTGACTTCGTCTTTTGCTCTGCCCTTTTTCGGTTTGTTCGCCTAGTATTATTAAACGCCAGCATCTTTTACTTCCGCGAGTGTCTGGTTTCTGTTGACTCGTCACAACTATTCTCTAAGCATTTGTTAATTTTTAACACTCTTCCATATGTATACACCATTTATAATTTACTCTTGCTGTTGAGTTTCTGTCATTTCACCTGCCATTTAATAATAATGTGATTTTGACATATTTGAATAAGCATTATAATACGTTTGGAATACTTGGTATGTACTTGGATTTAAAATTACGTTTAGGTTTAGCCTACTGTAATTCCCTAAATGACAGTTTCCTAAGGAAACATCTCTAAGTTGCGTTGTAATTTACAATCCACATACATTATTTCACTCAACCATTGTGGATGGCCATTGCAACATTTCATAGGAGCCTAGTAGGTGAAATTAATATAGTATTCGCTGACAGGATCTGCTGATTGTGGCTTCCTCCGGGTCCACTGTTGCATTTCGTTTGTCTCGTGCTGGTCAGGTCTATATGGCTCTGCTTTGACACTGTAGGTGTTCCCATTGCCTGGGGTGTCTCAATTTTGGTGGTTTATCGTACCTAGACTTTGGTCAATCCTAGGGCCACCTAAAGGCGCACTGCCAGCAATGCCTACTTTAAATGGTTTTGACTCAGCAACGTGGGTCCTTCCAATTTTGAGTCTCTACCTTTGGGAGTTGGCGTTCCCATTGGTAGAAGATTCTCAGTATCAGGTTTATTGTACCTGAATCTTGTCCCTTCTGAGCTCAACCCCTAAAGATGGGCTCAGTCAGATTCAGCAATGTGAGTCTTTATCCCCTGGTTTTGAGTTTGCTTCCCTTTGGGCTGAACCACCTGGAGGTACCCTCCACGAGAGTTGTTATACCCATGGCTGTTCAATTTTGAGTCTACCCCCGAGGCAAACACCGACACAAGTGACACCTCACTGGGGAGTCTAATTTTAATACAGCCTGAGAGGTCTTTAACTGTGGGTCCTAGGTTCCATCCTTTCAGGGTTCTGCCAGCCTAGAGTTACTCAAAACAGAGTGTGTTAGTCATGAGGGTGGGCACTGTGAGATTGCATGGCTGAAATTGTGGTGTCAGGAGTGGTCACATTGGAGGTAGCTTCCTAGGGGTATGCAACTACACCCACCAGTTCACTGAGAACTACGCTGACCCGGCTTGCCCACTTTATGACCTCCTCAAAAAGGACATGCGATTTGTCTGGGGCAAACCCCAGGAGCAAGCCATGCAGGCTCTAAAAAACAAACTCTGCACAGCCCCAAGCCTAGTGTATCCTGACATGAAAAAAAGAATTCTACTTTTCTAACTACCTAGGGGGTCAAAAAATGATTGTGGAAACCCATCAACTACCAGTCACTTTCCCTAACAGCCAACGAATCTGGGTCAATGTTGTCACCAATGCCTGCGTGGCCTCCTGGCTAATGGCTCTGCAGAGCTTCAACATGGAAGTGCGCTATGCACAGAACCAGAAAACTCTAATAGGGCTATCCTCCTGCCTGCTTTGTGCTGATGACTCCCCAGCCAGCACCATGCAAACTCTAGAAAGTCTGCAACCTGTGCAGACCAACCCCCACTATTTTGACCCAAATGCCTGTAAAGACATGATCACCGCATACGTGGTTGGCTGTTTCTTCTGCCACAAAAAGACATTACTGGCTGGTGTGGGCATTATTTGGGTCAACAACCCTACAGGCCCCAAATGTTCAATCTGGGGTCCCAGTCTTCCGACTATGCCAAAATCACTGGGGTCCTAATCACAATCCAACTTGCTGTGCAGAAAAGCATAGAAATGTTGGTGATCTGCCTGGACTCCAATTATGCAAGCCTGAGTTTCACCTGCCACCTAAGGCTTTGGAAGAAAAACAACTTCACAATGTCAAACCTGTCAAAAATAAAGAGTTGCTCACAGCCTGTGAGCACTTGGACATGTATGATCAACATGTCCACTGGAAGAAGGTTAGGGGCCACTCTTGAACTCCTGGCAAAGACAAAGACCTCAGTGACCAAGCAGATATCCTAGCCAAACAGGGTGTGTGGGCACTCCATGGGTGTTCAACCCTCCTCAATTCCCCTGCCCACACAACCCCACTATCTGTGCAATCACTCAAGCTCAGACAGCAGCCACCCCACCAATCACAGCCTCCAGTCGGTCCCCTATTGCCATCATGCATACTGAAAAAAGTATGTCACCACAAACCACCATGACTTGGAAGTTTTCCTTGGTTCTAATGGTCACAGCCAATAAACTTTCACCCTCTCTACATTACAATCACTAGTATAGGAAGAGCACAGTATTCCAGCCCAAAATTAATTTTTAGTTTAAGTGTAGCCCCCCACTTCTGCTTGTAGCTATTGCTGGTTCCACGCTGAGCACAGTTAATTAAGCTTAGATAACCCCCACCCCCTTTAAAGTAAGCTATACAACATAGTAATTGACGCCACCCTTATCATGTGCATCTCTTTTGTTACGACTTGGCTTCTCACACTCCTGATTAACAGCCCACTAATCATCATCACCCTTCTTGATATTGTTGAACCAGGACAGAGCTCAGGAATCTTACTGAAAGATCAGCCTGGACTGTTGTACACTAACTGCTGCCTACACACACAGAAGTTGTTTTTCAGGTTGAACCCCGGTGAGCAATGTAGGAAGAATGTGCTACTTACAGCACAACAGATAGGGTGGAGCCAGGCCAGGTGGACAATGCATGCTATAGGGCATGCAGGGGTAGACATCACTTGCATGTTACGGCAGCTGCAGAAGTTCACCATCACTCAATCCGAACTAAACAGGTCCAGTAAGAGGCCCAAATGATTTGTAGTGGCAGTAATGGCTGCAGCAGCTGCTGCTGGGTCCCTATTTGCAATCACAACTACAAGCTGTTAGCGCTGTTCTCATTTATGTCAGTTCACAAGAGAGATAGTTAGTGTTTCTCGTTAAATTGCCAATAATCTATGCAAAAAATATCAACCAGTTAAAAGATGTTGTGAATGCTGGATTTAGCCAAAGTGAAACCTATATTCAAGTACAAACTCTGCCCATCGTAGCC